ACTCGTTTGGGGCTCAGTCCGAAATCGACCTGAAATGCCCCCTAGAGACTTCCTGCTCGCCTACTGTGAAATTAAGGACCAAATGGACAAACAGCAATGGCACAGCGCTCCGCTTGAGTCGCTGAGGCCAAGGTCCCTCCACGCTAAGTCTCCGATTCCACTCCGGAGTCGTCTGTTTCCGCCCGTTTCTAACACATATTCTGTAAATCACCTCGGTACCTCTCGATGGTCACCACCCCCTCTTTTCAATTTATTACCTACGCCTCCCTAAGTATGGAGCCCCGAAGGCTTCTGGACAGCTCCGACGTCCGCTAGCGCACTCCCGCCTCCACTGGGCAATACACTCGCTTGCCCTGCAAGCCTACCTTCGGGCCTATCCCTCCTTTCCGTTTCTGGGTTATCGCCTACCATTCCGCTAACCCCATAACCCAACTCATCGGTAATATTCAATCGGCTAATGTCTAACCCCGTTAGCTCCACTCCGCTCAGCTCTGCCAATTGCAGGCCCGCTCTCGTTGTAACCATATATATACTCCACTTGTACATAGGTTACACCTCAGTAATAAAATCGACTAGAGTTTACCCCTTTCAGTTCTGGTTGCCAGTTTAGTAAGTTAGGGCACAGACGTGTTACTTGGCACAGCGCTCCTGGCACAAGTCGCTGAGGCCGAAGCCCTCCATCACGGAGACACTCCCTCATCTCAACCTGGTCTCTGACAGGTGTCCGGGAGGGTCCAGAGCCCGGAAGTTGTAGTCTGGAAGATTGGGGTTGTAGAAAATATCAAATGATAAAACAATAAAGAATAACATGACCAGAGGTAGGTTAGGAGTGGGGAGGTACCGGAGATACGGAGGTACCGGAGATACATGACCAGAGGTGCAGAGACCCAAAGTAAGGAGGAGGGTGGATAGGCAAGTTGAGGGTTACCAACAACAAGTAGACCATATCCTTCGAACAAGGGGTCTGAGGAGGTGGAGGTATGGTAGGGGAGGTCTGGAGGTGATGCAGACATAGATGGGAGGAAGAGCAGGAGAGAGGAGTGTCAGGGGACGACTCCCAGGTCCCCATGACCCTCCCCTATGGCCCACAGCCTCAGGTCTGGCCAGCCCTGTCCAGGGCACAATCAACTTGCCTACTGTGGGTCAGAGATGAGAAGGAAGTTAACTTCTCATCTTCCCACAGTAGCCATAATACATCGAAAACTTCCGGAGATATCCGGAAGTCACATGAGACCCGAGACCCGAGGTCCGGGCCATCCGGCCACACTGAGTGTCCGGCACAGGGCGCGCATGGGGAGTGCAACAGCTGGGTGCAGTCGCGGGTGTGGGTGCGAGTGCGGGTGTGGATGCGGGTATGGGCTAGGTCAGGGTGTATGCCCTGACAAGGAGAAGGAGAATGAAAGGTTGCTTACTTATTTGGGGACGGTAACGTTCCGTTCCCCCATTCGCCTCAGGCCTCAGTTAGTCCGTCTAAATATAAGCTTAAATGTGCTGTATATTCAACGGGGTAGAGGTAAAAGGCTACCGGGCCTTTACAACTACTCCGAGGTATATATATGTAAATTACATATCTCGGCACAAATAAATAAAGAAATAACCACATCACTATAATGGGAATTATAGCGATGCAACATAATATAAATATCACTATAATCGGAATTATAGTGAAGTAAGGTTAATCCCTTACATCCTCCTCCCTTGCGATATTGAATCGCAGACAGGGTACAAGCATATGAAAGGGAAAGCAAGCATATTAAGGAAATATAACACTCTACATACGAAGAATGTATGCAAGCGGGGGTACACTCATTGCAGGAGGCTATAGTAGTAGTTTGTAGGCAAAGCCCACTTAGAGTTTCTCCTGGAACATATGTACCCAGCTCTCGACAACAGCATTGTCGATGATGAAGTAGCAAGTGTCAATATGACAAGCTAGACTAACGGTTGAGTCACCGTCGAAAATCAAAAAAGGAAAGGAAAAGAACCAACAACGGCATTGTTGTTGATGAGAAAAGGCAGTGACACCTGAATTGGTCCGCTGCGGGATTGGGCACATACTGTGCAGTTGAGTTTATAATGCCCACAAGTTTGCAGCATCATGGCTTCCACCAGCAAGAGATGAAGCAGTCAACCCGAAGGTTGATACTCCAGTGACAGAAGTAACTCACCGAAGGTTATACCCCGGTGATAGTCAGTGAGTCCAAACCCGAAGGTTGATACTCCGGTGACACAGGTAACTCACCGAAGGTCAATACCTCGGTGATGGCCAGTAAGATAATAATGAGTCAGCGCGATGCTGACCCACAAAAATATCCACTAAAGAGCGGCACGGGTTTGTTTCTCCCTAGACAGTTGTCTGGGGGAGTAGTTGAAAATTCAACCTAGGAATCTAGGTTAAAAAAATAAGACAAAATTTCCGCCACACTTGAATGTGGGCCGGAGTTCTGAGCAGTGATCTGCTCCTCCCTAGATAGTCATCTAGGGGAGTAGAGAGGTCATTCTGTCCATATGAGTGACAGAATGGAAGCGCGGCCCATGAACTGGGCAGGCCTGAGCATGTCTGATCATTCAGACACGGGTTTTTGTTGGGGGCAGCTTGTCCGTCGGTGGGACAGCTTGTTCACTATGAAGTGAACAATAGAGAGAAGCCCTTTCCTTAGAAAGGGCCAGCCTTCCAGATGGGAAGGCAATAAGGAAATGAGCGTGGTGCAGAGAGGCACCGCGCATTTTGATGACCTGGCACTCAACAATGCCAGGAAAACACAGACCTTCCCTTGGAGGAGTGTCTGTTGGCAAGACAGATCGTTCACTCTGCAGTGAACGACAGAAGGGAACCCTTTTCCAGATGGAAAAGCAACAGAGAAATGAGCGCGGTACAAAGAAGCACCACGCATTTTGGGGACCCGGCACCCAATAATGCCGGGAACACACAGACTTTCCCAGAAGTGGAGTGTCTGTGGGCAGAACATATCGTTCACTATGCAGTGAACGATAGATGAGAACCCTTTCCTTAGAAAGGGTTGGTCTCCCTTCCGCGGAAGGGGTGGAGAATAATGAATCACCGAAATCGCGATGTGGAACAGCATCGCGCATCTTGGTGACCTGGCACTTAACAGCGTCAGGAAAGCATCCCTCTTGGCCTGCAGAGGGCCAAGGAGGCGGTTCGGATTCGACTTCCTGCAGAGTGGAGGGAGTAGGTGCTGCTGGGTTGTCAAACCCAGGAATTTCCGAAGCGCTGGGCAGCTCTATGAGCTGGCACTTGGCAGCAGCTGAAGCGCTGCCGATTCCATCTATAACCATAATAGATGAGAACCCTTTCCTTAGAAAGGGTTGGTCTCCTTTCCATGGAAGGGGTAGGGAGTCATGAACCACCGTGGTCCGGAGCATCCTGGTGACCTGGCACTCAAAAGCGCCAGGAAAAACGCTCCTCTTGGCGTGAAGAGGGCCTCTGAGGCCCCTCGAATCCATCCTCCCTCAGATCAGGATGAGTAGGGGGTTGGGAGTGTGTAAGGAGTATCTGGGTTGTCAAACCCAGGAATTGCCGAAGCGCCCGGGTAGCTCTATGAGCTGGCACTTGGCAGCAGCTGAAGCGCTGCCGATCCCATCTAAAACCGATGGTAAACAAGTCGCTTGGGCCCTCACAATGTCGCTAGATCGACACTTGGCTCCCACTGGGGCAGGAGAGTCAATGAGACTTTTACACAGCGAAGCGCTGGGTGGCTCGGTGCGGTCACACTCTACAATATTAGAGGAATGGTTATTCCGCCCCAAACTGGGCGGAAGGGAAGTCTCAGCACGCTTTTCTAGTGTGCAAGTGAGTGGGGAGGGAAGTCGGGCCTGAGTGGCCACGGGTGGGTCAACTCGCGTTTTTGTCCGCGGTTCTAACTTTGTTGACGCGTTCACATAATACTCATGCGCTCTTGAAATAGGGAGAGCGGGCCCATGATGGTGAACGCGAGGGTGGCAGTAGGACAGACACCAAGATGCTGCAACAGGTTCAGCATCTCCTGAGATGGTACAACGCATATGAGACATGTTGCTGGGCCCTCACGGGCCCAGATCACCACTTCCAGATGGAGTGGTGTTGACTCCCACCATAGGACTGGAGGGAGGGCCAGCTGTGCAGGTGCGAGTCCGGAACTTCCTGGTTGTGAGCATCAGGAAGTGAGATCAAAGGTTCCGGTGTGAACCTTGATTGAATGTGCGCGTCGTCAGGGACAACGATGCGTCGGTTGCCAAATGGGGTTCTGGCACCGGTGTCATGGTGGCTTCCCAGATCCTGAGATTGGGAGGGGTTGCCTCTACTCTGAGGCACAGCCTAGGTGAGCGTGCGTCTAGGAACGGCGCACGATGCGCGTGAGAACTAGGCGCAAATGCGCGTTGTCAGGCTAGACAACGCGTGCATGATCAATGATGCGCGTTGTCAGGGTAGACAACACGTGTGGGACACAGCAGGGTTCCGTCACCAGTCGCGGTGCCGAGATTGTAAAAGGAAACTAGCTTAAAAAAGTGAAAGGTTGCTTACTTATTTGGGGACGGTAACGTTCCGTTCCCCCATTCGCCTCAGGCCTCAGTTAGTCCGTCTAAATATAAGCTTAAATGTGCTGTATATTCAACGGGGTAGAGGTAAAAGGCTACCGGGCCTTTACAACTACTCCGAGGTATATATATGTAAATTACATATCTCGGCACAAATAAATAAAGAAATAACCACATCACTATAATGGGAATTATAGCGATGCAACATAATATAAATATCACTATAATCGGAATTATAGTGAAGTAAGGTTAATCCCTTACAGAGAAGGTAGTCCTAGGATCGTTTGGCATCGACCGGAGGCAGCAAAGAGAGATTGGGAGGACTGGTGGAGGTCATAGGAGTCGTCTAGGACTAGGGCGGAATGAGGTGGGAGATCCAGGATATGACACTTGCCAGGTTGGCGAGCTCATGGGAGAATCGCCTTATCGAGCACTGTGAAGTGGGTAAATGAAGGGTGGGATTAGCGACAGCTATTGGATAATGGGAAAACCTTTGTGGGGTTGGTGGAGGTCCTAGGAGGTTCATAGTAATGTTGGGTAGATAGAAATATTAATAAACTTCTATGATGAGGATACAGGGTACCGGAAAAGGTACCGGAGATCGGAGGTGGAGGTGGACCAGAAGTATACTGGAGGATATGGCAGAGGTGAGGGAGAGGACGAACCGGAGGTGAACCGGAACAGTGGCGGAGTAGGTCAGAGGTTAGGCGGAGTTGGTATGGATATGACACAGACATTTCAGCACTGATGTCCTCACCCATGGCAATGAGAGCAATAGCAATTACTGCATAGGCTTTGAACATGTCATCTTCTTTCTCGGTGTCGATGTGGTCACTGCAGTGATGAAGTAAACTTTGCACTATCAGAACGTTGTTGAGCCACCTGGATGCAAAAGTAAATGAATGCTGGAGGGTAGCAAGCCAGATCTGCGCATGGGTATTCTCCAAGTGGGATTTATAAATGTCCTCTAAGGATTTGGGGTCTCCTACAGCCAGTTCCTTGTCAAAAGCACAAAATGATCCAAAAAATAGGTGTTGCTCAGACATGCAAGAAGGTCTTCTGGTAGCCTCCAACTCAAGTTTCCATCTGGTCCCCAGAACTCGGTGGTCACACTCACTCTAGCAGGACTAAGGCCCAAGCAAGTATGAAAGCAAGCTGCTGCTGCAGAGCCTATGAAGGCAATTAGGTTCGGGACTGCAGGGTGTCCAGTCAACTCATGGATTCACAGGAGCGTGGAAATCTTTCTATGTTAGTAGAGGCTGGGAACCTGCCTAGATGAATGGCAAGAGATAATGCTTCAGGATATTTACTTCAAAATGGAGTACATTTTTAACATTATTGGAGCATTTTGATGCACTGGAAAGCGTTTTTCAAACAGCTAAAATGTAAAGAAACACATCCCATTGTACAAAAAATGGATCACACCGAACTAAAAACCTTCCCATGTGATCTAAGCGGTATATGCAATTTTCCGACAAAGTTGCTGCTTAACCACATGACTCTCTACATACAACTTTGTTACATGTGACTTGGGGTTCGGGGCTACTGCCCTGACATAAGTGCAAGCATAGATAAATCAGAAGCACATACTGGTCAGCACACATTTGCTCAAGCTCATCAGATTTGTGGATGGACACATTATCCATAATTGAGGGAGAGGGAATGGGTTCATGCGAGGAAGAATAGATTGAATAAAATCATTGAATGTGTCCACTGTGTATGCTCCCTCCTGAATTTTGACATGGAGAATGCCTTCAACACTGAGAGTGGGGAGTATGGAGTACCTGAGAAGGGGCCATTAGGTTTTAATTGTGAATTTGGAGTCAAATTACATACTTAGTGCCTCATACAAAGAAGTCCTGATGACGTGCACAGTCACCAGATGGTGCCCAGCCATGGGAGTGTGAAGAGGTATTACAATTGCAACCTGTTTCATCAACAAAAACAAGTTGTTACAATTGATAATTCCGACCCATGTACTGCCTAAGTCCAGAACACAATTCTTCATTGCATTCATAAGCTGGCTTTTGTAACTGTCATAAAGAACAACCTCTTCAGAATGTTAAATAAAAATAAAAACATAGAATACCCACTTTTTGTATGTGAAACCTTGCTGCTTCAGGCTGAGCCAGATAGTAGACTGGGAGACAGAAACATCATTGTATCTCTTCAATATTTGTTGTATTTCATGGAGATAGAGATCCAGCTTAAGCTACTTGATAGATTCAGTGCTGGAACCAACTGGCTGCTGTGATTCATCATACTCACATCCAGATCCCAGTTGTTAAGTTTGCGACTATGCCCATGGTTGCCAACTTTCTCAAAGGGGATCCCTTGCTGGTGAGCCAAGAGAATGCGGTGAACTGTGCAGACACTGAGATGGGCAATTTGCACAATCTCCTTAGTACTTAGTAGTGAGGGTTTCGGACATGAGGACAATGAGTCACTTCATGTCTGGAGAGGTGTGTTTGGTACCCATGAGATGGTGATGGTGTGTGGGAGCCTGGCTGACATGTTTGTTTGCCAGATGTGAGGGCTAGGATTGAGAGCTGGATCACTGTGACCATTGGTGCTGTGGTCATCATTCAATGGGGAATGGGGAATAGCTATGTGGGTGCTAACTCTACATCATGGATAACTCTCAGGTTGAGCAAATTATGCTCATGCACACGGTATGCTCCAATGAGGAACACCAAGTACCTGTTGCCTGCCTATCATCCCTTCAGTTCCCAACCTCAAGTTGTTGTTGTGGGGACAAGTCCATGCAGGCCAAAACAAGCCCCATTGCACACTTCACCCCCTACTGCATCAGGGACTAGGATTGGTGAGTCGGGGTAATAATAGGAGTTATAGAGACTGTAAAGGTGGTTCTGACGAGTCTGAGATCGTTGGATTTGGTTGGGTGGTTGAGGAGATATGACATTTTCTTTATTTTTTTACTATTTTCATTCATTCACGTATGTGACTTTCCTTTTATGTTTATATCGGCTACTACCAGACAACTGTACAGACAGTAGAGACGGAGAGAGAGACCTACCCCCCTCCCCCCCCAGACCTGAGTCACAAGTCGCAAGTCTAGTTGGATAGACCTGTTACATCATGATGATGATATCAACTCACTCAGTTGTGAACCACAATTGATGAGGACTCAATCTGCTTCTTATGAACTAAACTTGGACAACTCATTGATTACACACATTGGTGCTGTACAGGTCAGATCTCATAACGATCTGTTGACCTTAAGAACAGGTCAAGAAGGGAGAATCTCTCCCCATTCTTGCAACATGGGTGGTGGTTGTTAGGTCATGTATATTCTTATTCTCATTGCAAATAAGATACAACAAATGTATATAGTTCTTTACCATCTTCCATGTTCTGTCAATAATATAGCTCTATACTGCTTACATTATCAACAGACTAAGGACAGCAGGGTCACCAGGGTCAGCACCCCAACTGCCCCTTACAGTTGCCCATATGTTGGCATTATTTAACATGATGAAAAGACTGTCACTTTTGGCCCCATATCTCATGAGTATTAGTAGGGATCTTCATTAAATGCTCACCCACACATACTACATCAGTCTTTTTGTTACATTACTTATATACAGCTGAGGATAAATGTCATGTCAGGGATGTCATGTCAGGGCAATAGCCCCGAACCCTGAGTCTGATGTAATGTTAGATATGGGTCTGGGGTCGGCACTGAGGGTTGCCGTTGTGGGCCGCTATAAGCTGCGATGCCATGAACAGCCTGAGGGTAGGGCATTTGGCCTCAGTGACTCTAAAGGAGCACTGTGCCCCCTAGCTGTCTCCTGGCCCTCATTTCAAACTCACTGGGGTTGCCTTGTTGGGGTCAGAGCCTGGGGAGTCATGATCAAGTTGATATTAGAGCTGAAGTACAATAAAGTATCATACAGGATATATATAGAGAGAATGAATGAATGGGAGCGGACCCGGGCCGAGGGCCGAAGGGTCCGGAAGCAAATATGAATAGGGAATGGAGTTGGCCGCATAGTGGCTGGCAATGACCATGGGTCAAAACAAACAATAATAGATAAACAAGAAGGAGTGTAGGGCTGCTGTTAGAACGGGTGGATTCGGACGACTCCGGAGTGGAATCGGAGACTTAGTGTGGAAGGACCTCAGCCTCAGCGACTCAGGCGGAGTGCTGTGCCATTGCTGGTTGTCCTGGGGGTCCCTAATTTCAGATCTAGCAGAGGGAAAGTCTCTTGGGGGCATTTCAGGTCGATTTCAGACTGAGGTTACAAGTTACTATGTACATTGTATATAAGGAGGAGTCCGGAATCAAAAGGAGCAAGGGTACTCCGAAAGCAGACAAAGGGAGCTGGAAGGAGGAACAACACTGAGGGTCAAGTGTTTGACTCAATGGTGTTTCCCAAAGGAGGAGTGAAGGGCCAAGGCCCAAGGAGGAAGGAAGGAGGATGGGAGTGGGGAATGGCCAGCTGACTGAATAGAAAGGAAGCAGCAGCCCAAATAGGAATGAGGGAGAATAGTGGAATTGAATGGAGCAATGCAATAGTTGCAAGGTCCGACGTAAGTCCGGAAAGTCCGAACTCAGAAGTTAAACTCCGGAATATTGGCAAACGTAATTAAATGGAATGAGCTAACCAATACAATGGGTATAAGTGGAGGTGGGGTCAAAGTCTGAGGTTGGAGCTAAGACCGGAGGTTCCGGAGACGGAGACGCAACCAGGATTCCGGAGCGGAGGTCCGGAGTCGGGAGCATAGGTGTTGCATGCTCATCTGGAAGGTGTTGAGGATGAGGTCGGACCCAGAATGTTCCGGAGTCGGACTGAAGGTGGTGTTGGAGCCAGAGGTGGGATAACCTCTTGGAAGTTGGCAAGGAGGAGGTGGCAGAAGGGAAGTAGGACTCTGGAAGTCAGGTTCGGAGTTCCGGGAGCCCGGAGCGGAGGTCGGGATTGTACGGATATGACAGCTGTGATAGCAGCGATGGTATTGTAGCAGTGCCAGACTCGGAGTTGGGCTGGAGTCAGGCATGGGAATGATAGCAGCCCAGTGAGGGCCAAGCGGGTGGAGTAGAAGGAGTCACACTGGGCATGGTGCCGGAGGCAGACTCAGGGTGGGAAGGATGGTGAGGCTGGGGGGGAGTTGGCCAAGTGCAAGGGAGCCTAGGGGCATGCGTGGGGGTGAGCAGGGGGTCCTCAAGGAGAATAGGGATGAGGGTTGGGGCTCGTGCTCATGCTCGCACAGCGGGAACGGGCTTGGGTGGCATCAGGATGGGTGGGGAATGGGCCAGAATGCACAGCCATGACATGTAAAACAGTGTACATAGAGTCACGTGGCTAAGTGGCAACTTCCAGTAACCACTTAACACCATCATAAATATACACACCATTGTATCACTTACAGTCTGGTGTGCTGAGCAGCCCCCTGAGACCTCACACTTTTTTAAGTGTATGAGGTGTGTTTAAAAAGTAAACACAAACCACAAAACTCTCAACATCTACAACAATCTGACTTGGTAGTGCTCATGGCACCTAAGCATGCCTGCAAGGGCAAAGTCACATCTGCAGTGATGATAAAAAAGAATGAGCAGTTCACAAAGAAACTGCAATCTCCCACAATGGGAGATTCACAACAAAAGTCGTCATCAGACAATGACGAGGATCAACACGATCCTCAAAAAGCAACCACTTCAGGGCTGGTCCCTGAGGGTTCAAAAAACTCACATGGAGTAAGTGTGGGGCCCAATACCCCTAGAACTTGTCACGGCCCCGCAAAGTCCCCGCCCATCTACCATTTCCATCACTTAGTGGCGCCGATAGTGGTTCCCATCTATGGCCCCGTAGCGGCACCTCCTTCTTTCTCCTGCCACCACTTGAGCTCCTCAGCCATTCGGCCGATACCGTTTATTCATTCGCTTAACTTACTAGCGGCCAGTGTTGTCGCCACTGATCCGCTCCTTATTGACATTTGGTTTATTCCTTTATTGACACTTGGTTATTCCTTTATTGACATTCTGATCCGCCACCATATTGGCACCTAGATTGTCGGGCTATCCATT